GAAGTTAATTGCATGGGAATTCTAACGAGAATTCAAGTGAATTTCAAATGGATTTATGGAAGGAACCTTCAAGGAAACCCTGGAAGAATCATTAAAAAATCGAAAATAATCTACCTTAACTAATCACGTTTTATTACTTTATGCGAGAAGTTAACGATTTACATAGTTGAAGATGCTTAACGTCAAATATCCGACCAATTTATACGATAGATGAGGAGATGACAGTATAGAGTTGAGGAAGGTACGAATCGGGTAGAGCAATCGGGTAGATGCTTATATCAGATGGCGATTTGAGTGTGAAACAATCGATAGAACTGTTTCCGCACATCGGAGGTTCATGACCAAACCGGTGATTATCCCTTTTGCCAGTGTGCCGGGGGGAAACACCCCTCACTATCCCTCATCAACGGATGAGTTTGGTAAAAGGGATGCTCTAGCCGATTCGTTCCTTCCTCAAAATTGTCCTAAGCGCGCTTTCTACTTTCTATACACAATTTTCACACTGCCTATCCTATACTCTATACTTTCATCTCCTCATCTACTGTATAAATTGTCCACTATAAGTCTGATATATGACGTTAAGTATCTCCAACTACTAAAATTATCTATTTCCAAGAATATTGTTAATTGTTCTGCAAAGAATTTCAAGAATGCAATATTATTTTTGTTAGGCTTATTTTAGAGGCAAGTTTAATAGAAGGGTTCTAAAAAAGCTCGTGAGATCATTCTGAAAAAAATCTGTAAAATATTAAACTATCAAAGATTAAAGATTATTAAAGATTTCTAACGCAGATTCAAATTCAAATACTGTCAATTACAAATACTGTCGTTGTAATGATCTGTTTAACCCTATTTTAGCTGGTTTACTATGGTTTATAACTACATTAATCCAAATGTATATCCCGCAACCAGTAACATTTAATAAAAAAAACTCCGGCAAAATCCGGAAATTGCTATTTGCTGGTCATCATGTATTACGTAATCAAATGAAAATTATTCAAATCACTTCAAATGCTCTTCATAGGAGATTCCGTTGTGAGATTAGAGGAATTAATGAAATGTCTTAAAATCTCATTTCAAAAATTCCTCTAATGAATGACAAAAAAAAAACAGTTTATTTCAATATTCAACCTTATTTGAATTTCTGAGTCATCATATAAATATCACTATTGGCTACTTATTTATTATTAAAATGTCACTATTTCCGTAATTTTAGTCGCTTAAGTCACTACTATAATATCGCATCAGCACAAGAATTTGCTATATTTTGTCTCCATGTTTCTCCATAAAATACCCTTGGAATATTCTTGGTACATTCTTCAGAATGACTTGTACACTCTGTTCAAACTTATCTGATAATTCGCTTTAGAACCACTTTGGAAGAATGGTCAGAATTATCTTGTAATTCTCTTCAGTATTTCCTAAATACAGAGTGGCAAGTGACCTGTTCAACATGTTCAATAAAAAAAGTTCTATTTCTAAAAACTTCAGATAAGGCCTTCGAACTTTATGCAAGTTCTACAAAATTCGGGAAAGTCTTACAAGTTTCAGGAAAGTCCTGTGAACTACTGTGATGACCTACGACGGTCAGGAAATCTCTCTGAACCTTCAGAGAAGTTCTACAAATTTCAGAGAAGTCTTACGAACTTCAGGGAAGTCATTTAATCTTTGGGGAATAACTACGAATTTTACAGAATTTTCTACAGATTTAATGTAACTTCTACGACATTTAGGCATTGCCTAAAACTTAAGGATAATCCTATGACACTTATGGATTTTTTCCGAGCTTCAGAGAAGTCTTCAATACTCTTGGGAAGTCCTCTGAACCTAACATAGTTCTCCAAGCTCAAAAAAGTTCCTAGAACTTTTGAGAAGTCGATTGAACTACAGGTAGTCCTACGAAATTCATGGGAGCTCACCAAACTTCAGGGAATTTCCAAGAAATTAAGGAACGACCCACAAACTTTTGGAAAACCCTTCAATATTTAAAGCCTTATGAACTTCAGGGATGCTCTTCTAAATCTAGGGTCCTCATATATTCAGTTAAGTCCATCAAACTTCAGGGAAGTCCTCAGATCTTCGAGAAAGTTCTTCGAACTTGAAGGAAGTCTTACGAACTTTTGAGAATTTTTACGAACTTTGTGGTACTTCTACGATATTTAAGAAATTCCTATGAATTTCAAAAAACTCCGAACTTGAGCGAAGTCCTAAGATCTTAAGAAAAGTCCTTCGAACTTCGGAGAAGTCCCATGAAATTCAGCCAATACAAACTTCAATGAACCCGTCAGGAAAGACCTTAACGCTTCAAGGAAGTTCTACGAACTTTAGGGAGTTTCTATGAACTTCAGCAGTCAGTCTTTTTAATAATAAGAGTTATTAAACCAGCGTTGTTTATGAAATCTTTTAATCATATGATTTTGAAATCATGTTGTAATCAAAATTCCGATTAATAAGCTCCTTAATCGTTGACAACTTGCGGAAAATTTAAACCAACTGGAAATCCGTAAAATTGTTAGAAGCAAAGGTTTGTTTAAAGAGTCCTCATTCATATCACACTTCGCAATTTCACCTTGAGATAAACTAGCCCGTTTACTAGAAATTTCAATAATAAAGTTACAAAAATCGCAGTTTCAAAAACAGAAATCTCAAGATTTAGGGGCGTATAGATCTCTAAATTTCAGATGGGACTCCGCGCTAGTTCGTCGTATCTCAGTTTTTCTTCGTCGGGTTATGGCAAATGTTTCAGTGTCAATCGTAATTAATCTTGTAAGCAAAGATGTTTTTGCAAAAACATGAGTGGAAACGCTTTGCTATTATAGTTTTAGCACATAGAACGGAAATAGGCGCCATGATACGACGAAGTAGCGCAGTTCCCTACCCCTACAGCAAACAATCAGATAAAGATTTCACGGGCATTCACAAGAACCTTAATACCTATTTTGGTTTGTAAAATTCCGCATTGCGCGAAAAATGATGGTATAAGGATTCACTTAATTTTTTTTTATTAAAAATTGTTTTTTAAATACATGGTTTTTAAAATCAGGAATTTTTTAAATCATTGAGCAGAAAAGCCAGGAAAAAACCAGGAATTTCACTTGCCACCCTGTAAATACTCAAGTATTCTATTAAAAGGCCTTCAAATTCTCTCAGAAACGGCTAGATGTGCTTCTCCCATAATTCCTTTTGATTTTTGTTTTCATTTCATTCGAGTTTATCCCCATAGAAACATTTGTCAGAATTTAAATTAAATCATTCTCGCGACTCCCTTATGGATTCTCTTCAACATACTCATTGAATTCCTCTTCAGATTTCTTTGTAAATGGTCCCAGTAGTTTTTTGAATGTGTCATCAACGCTCCCTAAAATTCATCTAACGAATTTTCTTCTCTTCAGAATTCTAATTCCTTTCTCCACACAATCTCTACGCAGTTGTCATCAGAGCTGTGATGGAACTCTACTTAAAATTTACAATGAATTTTCCTTTGATTTACGAGAAATTCTACTCACACTATTTTCAAAATTATCTTAAAATTCTGAAATTATAGGGCAGTTTAGAATTCTAAAGTAACTTGGAATCCTCCTTTAATTTCACAAGGAATTCTACCCACTCTTCACTATGAGCAGTTTCAGACAACATAGCGTCAAAATTTTGATTTTTCGAATCGATCTTCTCCAATTTGTATGAAATTATTTATTATGGGCAATGATCCTAATTTTTGCTGAAATTCAGCCATTTTGAATCACGTAAAATTTTCAAAATGGCGCCCTTGAAATTTTTGAAAAGATTGTAGCACGGAAACGGCATTGCTGATCGTAATGATGTCTTAGACAAAGTTATAGAGAAAAATAATGTCTTTCTGGAAAACATAGACGACAAAATAAAATAAAAAATAACACCTTAATATCTCAAAACGTGTTTTTCCTATTTTTGCTCATGAAAAATGAAAACTTTTGGAATGCTCAAAACCATGGACACTTAAAAACTGAAAATAATCTACAACTTTGTCGCAGACGTCATTTCGATCAGAAATGCCGTTTCCTTGCTACAATTTTTTTGAAAAATTCCAAGGATGCCACTTTGATAATTTTACTGCCTCCAAAATGGCCGAATTTCAGCAAAAATGTGAATCATTGCCCATAACAAACAAGTATGAAAAGTTTCATGCAAATCGGAGAAGGTCGAGTTATACCGATTCTTCATTTGGCGTGGAACTGCTCACACGATAATAAGCCCTCGTGGGAAAATTGAACATTGAGACATATTCTGGCGGTTTATCCGGAAAATCCAGATAAATCTGTAATACTGGCAACGCTGCTGGTAGAAAAAAACGTGGCGCCTTTGAGCGCAGGCGCGTTCCGTCACCACAAATCTCAGTCTCACCACTCAGCTCAGATTATGCACCGAATTCTGCGCGCACAGGGATCATCTCTCGTTCGCGCTCCCTCTCTTCTCGTTCTCCCCGTAGTTTTTCAATGAGCATATAGCGACGTTTTTCACTGATGGAAAAAAGTCGGTGGCAGCGCGCAGTTTCCGTCGTGATTTCTGCTCGTTTGCGCGTTTTGATTAACGCTTCATGTGTAGGGTTTCTTATCTGAAAGGTGAAAAACTGATCGTACTGTTGAATTTGGTGATTACTGCCAAGTAGTGTTGATTGGAATCTTCGGAGTGGTTTTCGGGGTTTGGTGATTTTGAAAATAAAAGAAGATTATCGCTTTATTGCCTTGTGTCCTGAACGTGTCCTCTATTGTTGATTTCGTGAACCGTCGTGAAATGATTGTTTGAACAGAGGTTGAATAATCGATAAAAGTTAGAACATCGATGGCCGAAATCTTCTGCTGAGGGGATAAGACTCTCGTTTTCATTCTATTGATATACGTAAACTAAAAATAGCGCCCGTACCGCGCGCGAACAGGCAGCGAAACAGCTGTCCACTGGTAGAAGAGTGTTTTAATTTATGATTTCTTGTCTCGAACAAACAAATTTCAAACAACTTTCCGTAGTGTGCAACAGCAGCAGCAGCAGCAGCAACAAGTTGACCACCGATCGGTGGACAACCAGGAAGAATCCATCTCGAGTGTAGAGGAGCATAGTGAAGCCATCGTCTGCGGTGATGCTGCGGTGGAATCGGTGGGTCCACGTGGTTCGCTAGAATCTCTCATCAGCAAGGAAAAGCTCCCTTCGGAGGACAAGAGTTTGGATTTGCTGTCGCCGACCTTTGCCCATACCGAGTCCAACTCACACTCATTTAGCGGGGAATTCAACCTTGCTTCGCTCAGCTCGGACAGTGGAATACAGTTCGGTCGCGGAACGGAGGAAACCTCCGGGGCGGATTATGTGTCCTCGGTGAAGACCAGTGACAGTGACAAGTCTCCATCGAAGAAAACCATCGACGACGATTTGAACGAACTCGACGAAGAGGACGACGACGACGACGACGACGACGAAGACGACGACGAGGACGAAGAGCATTTGCAAATAATCGAAGAGACTGAAGGACAGAAGCGACTTTTGCTGAGTCCATCCACCGCGGTGCCATTGACACCCGATCGAAGACGTTCCGGTTCGTCCAGTTGTTCCAGTGCTAGCTCTAGTGATTTGAGTGATAGGGAAGTAGAACGAATGTACGCAGCATCGGTGAATAGCAGCGGCAGCCAACCGGACGAGGATCAATCGTCGTCCGGATTGCGGCGGTCGAATAGCGTTCGCGCACGGGCCAGCATGTTCCAACAAATGGAGAGCCGGAAGAAGGAGAACGAGAATCCGGCACTTCCGCGAGGAAGACGAGGTGAGTACCTTACAACTTTTCCATAAAACATTCCCCTTCACTTGTGTATGTAAACCAAGATGCCGCTCAAAAGCTGAAAAAAGTGAAGGAGACGCATGGTCGTTGGTGTTGTTGTGTTTTTTTTTCTCGTTGCAAAACAGAGAAAAGTGGGATTTTATTTTTAAACCTTTAAAACTTAATCTCAGTGAAACTCTTCTCTGTGCGTTGGCTGGGGATGAGTGATTACGACAAAGAGTCTGGTAAGAGCTGCTGTTTTGCGTGTGCTTAGCTACTTTTGCTTATTTTCAAAGAGGGTTGCCGGCCGGCCGATCGACGGGCGACGACGGGTTTTTCCCTATTACGGTCCCGTCCCGAGCTAGCCCCCGGACTTTGAAAAGTGTGTCGTCGCACGATGCACTGTAAATATAGGTTGTTTTCCTGCTTTCCATCAGCAATCAGTCAACTGCTGTGCTGCTGTCCTCACGAGTAAATTGACATACTAAATGAGGGACAGAGGAGGGGTTTGACAAGAGAACGTAGACGGATGTTTTGCAGTGTTTTTGTGTGTTTTGCATTTTCTGAGAGTTTGTTCCATGCGTAATCAATCACCAGGTACCTTTTTGGGGACACGGTTTGAGACAATGTGCATTGTTTTTTTTTTTTTTTTTATTGAAGAAGATCCTTTAAAGTACCATAACACGGATACATATTGGCATTAGTATGTGCGCTTCCAATTCGGGTGGTTCAATAATGAGGCCCCAGGTTCTGATCGTTATCTCAGAATTTGAGCTTATTTGGATGCCTACTCAAACTGCACCCGCCCTTTGTAGTTTGTTTGAGAACTACTATGGGTAAACCAGGGGGGCAAGTCAACCTGGAAAACCGGCGAAAACTCGCGATTTTCTTTTCATCAGGACAAACTGGGAAAAAACCAGGAATTTGAAAAATCCACACCACCAGGCAAATAATCTTGATGCAATGATTTCAATCATTTCTGCATTTCACATAGGTGGTAATGGCAAATTAAACAGGTCAATACTAATCATATCGGTCGAAATAAAACTTCCATGCAACAACAAGTTTATAACAAGATGAACAAAGTTTGCCTTAAGGGGAGGTTCACCGCTTCGAAAAAAATAATTACGTTTTGATTTTTCTAAAAATATTGAAAAAGAGTATCAAAAATCTAAAAAAATCGCATTTTTTAAAGAAAATTCACGTGCAAAAACATGTTTTATAAGTCATTATGGCATAAAGTTGGACTCAAAAAACCACAAAACATCAACTTTTCGGTTTTTCTGAGAGTCCAATTTTTTTTCATGATGGGATGGAAAAATTTTTTTGCATGTAATTTTTGACAAAAATCTAAGGAAGAAACTGAAGAGTCGCTGAAACATTGCTCATGTCATGCTAGTGGTCCATATAACACCTCAGTTGCTGAATCATTTTCAAGTACATTTATTTGAAACAGGTAGCTTGGTAGAGTAAATCAATAATTTCCTTCCTAAGTAGCTTAAACACAATTGTGATATGTAGAATTGTACTTTATTTTAGGAGATACAATTTATTCAATATATGGGTCATTCCGCGCCAAGTGGTCACAAAAAATTGCAAAAGTGAAATTGACCTCTTCCGATTTGGACCAAATTTGGAGCGAATGTTCATTTAAGTTCGAATTCTAAAATTCCAAAGTTGTATGCTGATCGTAGCACCCCTCGATCAAGGGGCACATTTTTCATTTTTCATTATTTTTTAGAAACCACTACTTTCTTTTGTTCATATCTCCGGAACAAATAAAGCTACAAATTGCATTAGGTATTGTTTTAATAAGGAAATTAGACAAGAAATGTAAATCTGTAACTTTTGTTTCTGTACAGTGTTGCCAAATATTTTTTATTTTAGTTTGAAAACTTTAAATACAGTTTTCTCATAATACATGTCGTTTAATTTTCATTTTAAGGACACCATCGTGTTCTTCATCCTTTTTTACATAAGAAACACTTAACGACAAAAAGTAATTTGCGTAGTTCCTGAGATATTGCATTTTGAATGAACGAAAGTCATAAATTATGAGGGTTATTTTTATAACGTTTCCTCGTAATAAGATTCATTCTCATGACTTACTTTGTTAAATAATACTTGATGGAAACAAAATAGGTATGATAAAACCAATAATAGTTTTTATGCAGTGTTGACAAATTTAAATATTATTTAGTAGCTGAAAACTTTACACTAGTAATAATCTAAACGAATTGCTTTATAAATTAAGACATTCCAATAAAATGTTGTATCGAACACTGATCGATTTGTTTCTTACATTTTATTATAACAATGTAAAACATAAATTACAATTTACTTATTTTTTTTCTCAAGGCTAGCACTTCGTGATGATTTTTTCCCATTATTATTCGAATCCACTTGCTTTGCACGTTTCGTTGCCACAACTCTAAAAGCTGAACCAGTTGTGGCACTTGAAACAGTTTTCATAATAATGGTATCAATACCAGAAGGAGCTGCTGCATTTATTTAACGAATACTGGGAATAGATGCAGCTGATGCAAAACGGTGGAACAGTATTTGTTTTTCTTCGGAACAGATCTCAGATGACACAAATCTAACGTTTGTATTGCAATTCTTCATTGCCCAGTCATAGAGCTCCTTTGGCGTGTGAATAGTGGCTGCTTGTAAACTAGCTCGCGTTTCCAATCTCTTCAAAGTTCATCCGAATCCGTCGCTTGGTCCTTTGCCATGTGCCGTAACAAAGTAGTGCCACTCAGTGGGCACCCCAAATTTGCTTTCGTGGAAAACCAGGGTACCGCACCATCGGAGAAGTACGAGATTTTGGACAACTGTGATACCTAGGATTTGAGATACTATTTGAAATGGCGCTGGAAAGCATGAAATGTTGTTGTGCTGTGGTCTAGAGTATCGGACATTATGACGCAGTTCAATGGTACAACTTTATTCTGGTGTACAGTGTAGGCATCAAAAGTGTGAACGGTTGCCGAAAAACTCGGATTGTTTCGCTACAATATAGACGTGCTTTCGTACGGCTGGGATTGAAATGAATAATTCAAGATGAATTTTACCTGCAGATGGCTCGTCATTATCCATGTTTTTTTTAACCGCTAGATGACATTGCACGCATAATTTCCGACCTTCGATAATTTTTGGCAAAGTTCTTATTGTACTCGTCATGAAACCGTGCAGAAATTGGTTTCAAACTCTTGCGACGAATAACTGTATGCAGATTCAATGGGTTGCAGCACTGTCGTTGCATTGTCGCATACAGGTCTCCATATTGCTTAGCATGGCCATCACAAACACTTTTCAGTTCCGTAACACCAGGACAAAGATTGTAATTGTGTTCCACTGTTCGGGACCTAACACCACTGCGACCAGTAATTTGATCTATTGTAGTATTTCCCATGTCCTTAGTTTAGTGCATGTCGCATTACTCCGTTTTACAGTTGTCATTCTTGCATTTATCTCAAGGATCCGACTCTAATTGAAAGGTCCCGCTATTTATACCCTTCGGAGTGTTGAAACACCCTCCAAAGGCACGCCCCTTTGTCAGTCAAAATTGGATTCCTTAGCAAGAAAATTAAGGAATGACCATGCATCAGAACCCTAGTCTTAAGCTCTTCAAATTATGGAACAACGAATATAAGATTAGGAATCACATAGATGAAGACTAATTAACCCCCTTTTTCCTTGTTTTTCAAGATAATCCTCGGTGGACAAAGTCGAGTCTTATCACTATCAACAAGGCATAAAAAGTAACAAGGACTAAGATGTGTTCCTTTGATTACTGAAAAATCCTGTTCCCCTAGTTTGAAGTAGTCAGGACTAGGAATCGGTGGTAGATCTTACATCCCTTATCGTACCACGAAAAGGTGATCCACCCACGTTACGGGGGGTAATTGTGTTTCTTGTGTGTTTAAGGGTGTCGGAAGGTGTTTATGGGTGTTTCTGCATGTCGACCTAGCTGTCAAAACGTTTATTGAAAATTAATGCTTACTGGCTAGCATTACATCCACTTTTGTTTATAATCAGAATTTTTTTTTTTTTGCTCTCCAAAAATTTACCAATTTAATCATGCACAGTGAAAGCACGGAATTTCAGAAATAATGCACACGTCTATGCAAGCAACTTACAGGAATTCAAATTCCCATCCCTGATCGTCATCCGGAACACCTATCTAAAAGAATGTGCTGTGTATGTAGGGGAGAATGGTATACAACGCACCCCCTGGGCAGAACGCACCAGCTGACTTTCATTTGTGTTTTTCATGGCTTTTACGTAACTTTTTTGTTGTCTTATCAAGCAGCACTTCTAGCCTAGCATCTGAACTCAAAATCCTGCATGATAAATCCTAGAATTGGATTAAAAATTCCAAGAAAAACTCAAAATGAAATGAAAAAGTGCGTCTTACCCCGGGGGTGCGTTATGTACTGTCTGGAGTTCCACTCCGATCTCAAAAAGTACTCTCTAGCCGTCGCATTCTTATGTCATGATGCTTGACATCCTGGCTCAAACCAGTAAAGTCTTCTCGAATTCATCCCAACCGAATTCCAGTCGCAATCAAGCCCAGATAACCAAACCGAGCACGCCCCTTGCTAAGCAATCTCTGGATCTAAATTTCGCAAAAAAAAAAAAACGAACCTATTTGCAAGCGGCAGCTAGTAGGATGGATCTCTCTGATTTGGTATTGTGTATATGAAATCCACGATGAAAGGGCATCAAACACATTAGAAAGAAATATCTGTCTTCAGCTATCGATCAATAATTGATATGATAATTATTATCCGCTTCATTAATATACAGTTACAGATATTCTAGCTCGTTAGAGGTTGAAATTGTCTGTTTTTCAATGTTGAGCTTGATATTGAATCTTCTTTTCTAATACTACTATTCTACTGTTGAAGAGTGTCGAAGAGTGTTTTTGATGTGTTTAACACAAGGTGGCAAAGTGGCTTACCCCCTGAACAGAACACACCATTTTCCACTCGGTATCTGCA